TCAGTGATGTGTGCGCATGGGTGAAATGTTCTTGGGATGGAATTTCTGATGAGATCATCATTGATTCTTTTAAAACTTGTGGTATCTCAAATGCTTTGGACGAAGTAGAGGATTTTGATAATGAAATTATTGATATTAGTAATGATGATCTGGAGGACGATAATTTGGAACACGATGTTAGTGATGACAATTTGGAGGATGACATAAGCTGTGATGATTCAGGCATTAGTATAAATGAATAGATAAAGTAATAATTTTGTATCATTTAATAAAGTTAATAAAGTTAATCGATTTGTAATTATAACATTTATAATGTTTAAATAATAAAAAACTTCAATTTTTTGGGGTTGCTTATTTTTAGTATATATATATAATGTGGGGTGCTTAATTTCGGGGGGTGCTTAATTTCAGGATTATACGGTAATACTACTTTCACATATAAAACAAAAAAAATTCTACCCTATTCTCAACTTACTAAAAATTTCAGTTTAGTTTTAATCTAAAAATCATTTCTAATAGAAAAAACAATAGAAATGTTAATAAAATAAACAAAATAAAGCTAAAAAATTCTTTACTTACAATGAGCATTGGAGTTCTAGTCTGAATTCCAAGTTCCTAAGAAAAAAGTAAAAGGAATATTAGTATGGTAATATTCCCAAAAAAATTGACTATACTTTTCTCTTAACTCATATTTTTCCAAGATATTGGTATCTAAAATAATAAATTTTAGATTTAAGAAGTTACTTTTAAAGAAAAATAATAAAAAGGAATATTAATAACATTCTAAACCAAATATTTTTTTTTAATAAAATGGCCTATTGTTAAAAAAATATAACAGTAAAAGCCAAAAAAAAATTTTTATTGAATAAAACGGTTTGTTACAGACCAAAAAAAATTATTTTATTTTTTTCTTTCAATAAAACGGTCTGTTAAAAGTCAAAAAATTGAAAACAAAATTATTTATTATCAATCAGATTAGCCGTCAATTATGTATTTTCAAAAATTTATGTATTATATTATGTATAATGCTGCTTATTAAGGAATTCCAAGGCGTTATGCTGCTAATTAGTAGAAAATCGCTAGAATTCCAAGGTGTTATGCTGCTAATTAGTAGAAAATCGTTAGAATTCCAAGGCGTTATGCTGCTAATTAGTAGAAAATTGCTGAAATTCCAAGGCGTTATGCTGCTAATTAGTATAAGACTGCTGGAATTATATATATATATATTTTTTATTAAAAAATACCGTTGATTACGCAAATTAAAATATATGACATATATAAAAATGATTGTTATTACGCAAACTATATATATAACCTTTTAAAAAATCTCAAAATCTATGCAAATAAAATTTTATGACTTTTGGAAATTTTACTAATATGGTTAAGCAAACTTACATGTGACTATGTATTTTTCGGGATCCTGTAGGATCCCAGACATTACATATATAACTCAGAGGTTGACTTTTCACAAATTAACCCTAAATTTCAGAAAAAAAAAATGGATTTTTTGTGATTATCTTGGCATCTAGTAGTCCAATTTATGTAATTTTTTTTTTGTTTTATAACTCTTATCAAGCTTTATAAAATAAAAAAAATCTGCATGAACCGAATCACTAAATGTCAAAATATTCACAAAAAACTGAAAATAAAAAAAGAGCAAATTGGGCCTTTTTTGACAAAAAGTCAGTTATGACTTACATCAGGAAATTTGTTTAAGCATAATTTAGTGTAATATTTCGGAGGTGGTGTAAAATTTCAAAATATTACACTAAAAATGTAATATTAGGGCAGTGACATTCATTACGTAATATCCATTTACTATAAGTCCATACTCCCCCACCCCCATGTAATATGAAAAATCTTACATTACACTTATATGTTATATAACCTTTAAATACCCTCCCACCCCCTAAAATATTATGTAATAAATGTCACTGCCCTTACAAAGTTTACGCTCTTAAATTTGAATAATTATAGTAATTTAAGAATATCTCGCTATCTACTAATTCAATCAAGACGATCTATAGCTCATTAGAATCAGCTCATCAAGACGAATCGAATGGTAGTAAATTCGCATTTCTACAGTTGATAGAACGCTCTATAGTATGCAATAAAGTTTTGAATTAATAGAAAGTCATCTATCAAATATAAAGATATGATTTTACTACCATTCGATTCGTCTTGATGAGCTGATTCCAATAAGCTATAGATCGTCTTGATTGGATCAGTAGATAGCGAGATATTCTTAAATTACTATAATTATTCAAATTTAAGAACGTAAACTTTTGTAATATTACGTTTTTAGTGTAATATTTCAAAATTTTACACCACCTCTGAAATATTACACTAAATTACGCCTAAACAAATTTTCTGATATATATAAGAAATATCTGAAATCCTGCTATAATGTTACCAGATTTTTTTATAATGAAGGCTTGATTAACTCAAATACTCATTTCTTTATAATAAGGGTTAACTGTATTATATAATATTTAGTTTAAAATAAACTTATTTCTTCTTTTTCTCTTATTAAATTTAATAATTAATCAAATTATAATATTTATAAATCATATAATTTTATTAAATATAATGTAAGATTTTGATTGCACTTCTCTTCTTCTTTAATAATTATATAATATCTGTAAATTCCCTTAATATCTAAAAAAAAAATTAAAAAAATCTTTATTAATAGTAAAAAATTATTATAATTATCAAATAAATAAAATAACAATTTTAATATTTATTAATACTATATAGTAATAAATAGTTATTTATCACAATATTACTATATTAATATAGTAGTAATAAATAGCTATTTATTACTATCATATAATTAATGGAAGTAATAAATATTTATCATAAAAAATCTTAAAAAATAAAAAGTTATTAATATAAAATAGTATTATAAATAAAAAAGATTTAAAATTTCACATATAGTCAAATGTATTTTATTAATTTATTTATACCAAAGTTATATAAATTTTATGAAAAGTATTATTACAATTATTATAAAAGTGAGGATTATAATCAGAGATTTCTTTATTTTATTTTATTTTACTAACTGTTTTTTTAGTACTTCTATAATTAATTTGATTTTTGCATTTTTGATAAGTTTACATTTAATATGATTATTAATAAATAGATTAGGATTAATTGACCTGAATTAAAAAATTATTAAATTGTTTTATAATTTTAATATATTGTTCTATTTATTGAGTCAACTTTTAATTATCATTATTAATTGCTAATTATCTAAAGTATAGCAAAAGTACTGCAAAAGTCTATTTATTGTATAAAACTAAATAAATTTATAGTACTGATTTAATTCATGTATTTTCCTTTCTTTTATTTATGTTATTATAATTTAGCTCCTACTTATTTCTTTTAATTTTGTATTACATTTTTGTAACGCTTTATTTTTAGCAACATATTTTATAATATTTTGTCATATTTTTATAACTATTTATATATATATAGTATGTAAATTATTATTACTATTAAGTGTATTAAGTGATGAATTCTTAATAATTAATATTTTTTTAAGGTAAAGTAAATTGTATTTTAATAAAGTATATAATTATAAAAAAATAAGTCGGAAAAATATATATCAATTACTTTTATAAAATAAAAATTTTTTTACCTATACAACTGGTATTAATTTTGATTTTCTATTTCTTATATACACTTAATGTTAAGAAGCTACTTTCTAAAAAGTAAATATAGAAAATTCAGGATTATTGTTAAATTAAAAAGAATAGCATTAACTATAGCAACCCTTTTCTTAGAAACATTTCTTAATGAATTTTACAGTATTATTTGGCAATTATACTATAAAGTAGTAGTAGAATGAGAACATATTAAAAGAATAAAAAAATAAGACTTAAGGAAAAGATCATTAACACTATATGAAATTGGTTAATTTTGACCTCTGAAATGGTCAAAATAGTCGAAATGATTTCGACTTGAACTCCTTCAAAAGTTGAAATGGTCAAAATTACGTCATACAGTGCATACAACCTAGTCCCAACAAAAAAATTTTTAAGCGGCCAAATTTTTTACATTATATAATACTTAATCCTGTAATTTTATTGGTCAAATTTATTTAATTTAAGTTATAATTCTTAATTCTAGCTAAATTTATATAATTAATAATTAAACAAAAGTAATTTTGGCCAGATTTACATGTAATTCTGGTTAGAATAAAATGGCCAAATAATTAATTTAATAGTAAAATATTCCAACTTTGAATTGCTACTACTTTATTAAAAAATACTTTATAGGAAATTTAAAAACATAGTTTTATTAAATTTAATCTGGTTTATCATTGTATGTTTATACTTTATATTTATCTTTTTTTTTTTGAATGAATAGTAGTGATTTAAATTTCATCAAATTTAATTGCTGGGACTAAGTTGTATGCACTGTAGTCATATGATTTTATAGTAAACAATAATATTAAAATTCAAAGTTAACGAACTCCGCATCTAGTGATTCGATTTTTATGATCTTTATACGGTTGGATTTAGCTTATCGAGAGGATTCCAATGATATGTATTTTATATCTGTAGCATCAATATTGACAGAGTTATTCACGTTTAAAATTTTATATTAAATTATAATTATAAAAATCACATGACTATGATGTAATTTTGATCATTTCGACTTTAATTTCGACTTTTAACCTTCCTAAGTCGAAATATTTCTACTTTTGGGCTTTAATTTCGACTTCATATATAATTAACACATCAATGCATTATATATGATAGAATTTTAATGTTGCAAAAGGAGAATAGCATATATAACTTGAAAAACAGGAAAACATATCCACCGATCTGCGGAATGGAAGGAATGCACCATATATATGGTCATCTAATGACGATCAGTACCAGGTTTATAATTTGGAAAATTAAACACGTAAACCATATAAATAAACCCGTGAACCATATAAATAAACACGTGAAGATTATCACTAATAATTGAAAAAAATCTTATTTTCAACAATGGAAATAATGTCCGATAGAGAAAATATTACTGACCAAGAAAATATTGACGAATTTCAAATTGAAGAAGTTTCCACTTATCCAATAAACAATAATATTTTGTATCGTGAACGTGTAAATAAAGTCACTAAACGTAGCTTCAACTATGTAATTATAAAAGAAGGTGTTTATCCTAATGGAACTCAAACTGGACCAAAGAGTCTACAAGATTCAGTAATTTGTAGTAGTACCAGCAACAACAAACGAAAAAAAAGACCAGTTCAACAATATAAGATTCCACATGGTTATATTGTAGAAACAACTTGGGGACGTGCATCCAAAAAGAAGACTATTCGTTGTGAAATTGATTATATTAATGAAATACCACAATTTCGTATTAAATATGGCTCCAACTTTCAATATGTTGTTTTTTCTAGCAAATCTCCATCTGATGTAGCATATAATTATGAGAGTGTATGTACTATATAAATTTTTTACTATATAATACTAATTATTAATTAATTGCAGGTATTATTCCTTGCATTTTTCAGGCTTTAAAACCAGAAACAAAAGCTACTCTTTCAGGTCCTCTTGTGTTTGGATTACAATTAAAAAGTGTAAAAAAAGCATGTGAATCCAGGAAAAGAGGCAATTTAATTAAACCAGCCATTAATTGTACTTCATCAACGCTTGAAAAACGTGCAAAAAAAATTGCATCAAAAGTGCTGGCTAGTTTTAATAATGATATCAGAGGAGTTTATCACCAATCTGACGAAATTGTATTAAAATCAGTTGAATTTTCAGTTAATAAACTGGATTTTCAATTAGATTACGAAGAAGGTATAATTTTAATAATTTCTTTTATCTTTAATCTCTTTCTATTTTCATAAAAAGTAACTAGTAAATTAAAATACAGTTTACTTTCTCTATAGTGAATTTTTATATAGTGAATAATTTGCTACAATAAAGAAAAGTTTAGGTAGATAAGTACAGATTTTTTTTATATATAATAAAATAACTTTTAATATAGTGAATTTCTCATTATAATAAATTTTAATTTCTGACTTATAAAGGGTGAACTGTATATATATTTTTATTTGATTTTCAATTTAAATGCATTACACAAACTTTTAGTTTATAAATTATTATTAGTTTTTTAAAAGTGTTGTAATAAAAATATAAAAAAAAATAGCATATATTTATCAAAATAATAGATAATAAAGGGATTTATAATTTTATATAGATGGCAAATAGACTATTTCAGGTTGGTTTAAATCTTTTTTTATTTATATTTTAGTTATGCTTATTTTTAGCTAAAAATTATTACTTTAACAATAATATTTGAATAATTTTCATGGGGTAAACCAGTTAATCTGATATATAAATTTGTATATTCATATTGTAAGTTGATAAGTTGAATCAAACTAAACCATTTTATTTTATTATATAAACATATTATTAAATTTACAAAATTTTTAATTTAACATTTCAACTGAATTTGTTTTAATATAAGTATTGCTATTACTTTTTGTACGCAACTGTATATTTACTATAAAAAATATTATTTATAAGAGATTCAATTTGCAGGCCATTTTGCAAAAGTACAATATATTTTTTTTTGCTGGTTAAATTTAACAAAATAAAGATATTATTAAATTGATTTTTCAAGTACTTCAACCAATTATTAAGGATATTCAAGAACTTGGGCATGGATATGAATTAGAAATTAATAATCAACGCGTATGGGTTATTGGTGAATTGGATATTATTACTTATTACTAGTGATTTATTAGTAGGTAATGAACAAGCAGGAAGAATTATAATGCATATTATGATGACATAACTGTATAATTCCAGAGTTGAAGCTAAAATTTATAAGCTAATTGGCGAGGGACTATTTATGGTACGGCACCATGTATTTTTCCTTCATTTCTTCCTTCCATCTACGTCACTATAATTTTTATACTACCCCTGCTTATTTCTTTGTTTGTGACACATGGGACACATCATTTAATTTGTAACACTTTAAAGTTTAAACGAGATTTTGCTATGTACTAAGCGATGGTTTCCATTTACCTAGTATATATAATTATAAGACCATATTATCAAAAAAAAACATATATAATATATATATATATCACATAATCAGGAAATTTTAAAGCAACTTCTATAAATATGGGACAAATGTGTACGTAAACAGACTACTATATATATAATCGTTTATTTGTATATATTAAAATTTTTATTGTAAATGGAGAGGTGGCAACTGAATTTGATGAATAATATACTTCCAATCTTCTAGTAAATATCATTGAGTATATCTTTTTATCATACGCAAATTCAAATAAATAATTTATTATCTGGAATAGGTTTAAAATAGATTTATTTATGCGATCCTTATAATAATAAGCTTCTAGGTGGAATAGTTACTAAATTTTTAGATACAAATAATACAAATATTTTTTTTTTTTCCGTTATTACTTATTAAAAATAATAATAATAATAATAATTTAAAAATTTATAACAATTATCAATAGATAAAAAAAAAATAGAAACAATTCTATATATTTAATATATTTATATATTATAGTATATTATAGTATTTACCTGATTCACCCAGATCAAAATTTTTTTTTTTTAAAAAAAAAAAGCTATTATTAGTTATCGATAAATCTTTTTTACGTATTTATTTGAAAATTTATATTTTTTTCATAAACCATTTTGTTTTTTTTATTTTTTTGATTTGTTTTTTTTTGATTACAAAAATACTAAAATTTTTTTCAATATAATTACTGTAACCAATCATTAAAAAACATCATCAAAAAAAACACGTTAATAAGAAGAATCATAAATTATTCTCTAAATTTGTTCATTCCTATTTTAGTAAAAATGCATTCGATAAAAAAATTTGAGCATCGTGACCCGATGAGATTACTGGTCACAAATATTTGTAATATAAACTTTCGTAACAATTTTAATCTTGGAATTTTTCTCAAGTTTTAATGCATAAAAAGCACAAACACCAGTAAGATATTCTGATTTCTATTTTATCATAACAATGAACATTAAGTTATATATATATATATAAATTTAAAAAGAAGAAGAAAAAAAAAAAAAAAATTATTTAAAAAGTGGAGAAATTTTATGCGAATCAGATATTATATTAAATAATAATAATAATAATAAAGGAATGATTCAAATCGTAAAAATTCCGATAATAAAGGGTAAAATAAATGCCAATTTTTATAATAATTTATTAAACGGTTATGTACGTATAATTAAATTTAAATAATTTATTGTTATTATTATTATAATAATTTTAATTTTTAACCCTTTTTCATTCCTTATTTTACCTGTTTTTTTCCTTTCCTCCACCCCTAGTTTACAAAAGAGGAGCTTACATCTCGAATAAAATCTTTTAATCTAATTTATAAAACGCATCAAGAAAAATATGTTCATTATATATTTTTACCATTTTTTTTGCCAATATTTTATATTATAATAATATTACCTATTTTCATTATAAATCGTATTCATGGACGATATCTTATTGGATTAATTGGTGTGATATTACCTCTAATTTTTATCGGTTGCATTATTTGGTATCGTATTTTTAATACTAAATTTAAAGAAACGGTAAGTAAAAAATATATATAATATAATATATATATATAAAAAGAAGAGGGGTAAATTAATGAAATGGGGCTAAGCCGCTAAGGAATTTTCCTTCTTTAGATCAAACGGGAGATTAAATTTTTAATTACTACATTTAATGAATACGATTATGCACGTCACGTGCATTGGAGAATAATTAGAGAGCGTGATAATCCTAAAACCACTTTCCCCGTAGTATTTTTATCTAAATACGAGGTAAAGATATGACTAAAACTATATATACTTTTGTATTTTTATTTAATCGTAAATAATTAAAAAGTTTTCAATTTTTTTAAAAAAAATAGGAATATTTGACGATTGATATAGTAGATAATTTATATTTTTATTATAATATATCGTCTCGTTTTTCATCTCATTCGAGTAATAATTCTTTAATTGAAAATTTTACAATTGATTCTACAACTTCAATTGATAATTCTACCACTTTGTTAAGTGAAAATTCTACAATTTCAATTGATGATTCTACAACTTCAATTGGTTCGTTAAATGAAGATTCTACAATTTCAATTGATGATTCTACAACTTCAATTGGTTTGTTAAATGAAAATCTATCCCTTACATCGCCTCCACCGGCTTACTCTTTATCATATAATTCATTTTATATTTCCTCTAACTTTTCTAATATAACTCATAATACAACTATAAATATCTCGGAAAATCGTCAATCAATAATAGATCAACAATCTGTTACTAATGATAGAATACATTTTTTTCCATCTTTTCTTTCAAATATTCCTCCTCCACCGCCTCCGCCTACATATCAAGAAGCTCTTGACGATGATAGAGTATTATTTGTTGAAGGAAGAGACCAATTTGGTAATGAACAAGTTTACTTTGGTATGGGAAGAAGAGGCAGCGTGATTAGAGGGTGGCTGTAATTACTGTAATTGCGAAAAAAAGAAATGTACATTGTGTAATAAACGTCATAAACATATGATCAAACAACTTTGTGACCTTTTTTTTTTTGAAAACTGGTTTACTTACAAGTTATAATGCAATATAAGTGGCTGATTTTTTTGATATGGATTGATTTTCAAGAATCTGCTGACCAAAAAACCTACAAATTTAGATTTATTAAAAAAACCGAAACATAAACATAATGACCGCGAGAACTTTTTTTTTTATTTTAATCAGTAAACAATAAGCATGTAAAGACATTTGATCGTAAGGGGTGTGAGAATTTTTTTTTTTTGATAAAAAAAATTTTTTTCAAAACTGATTTTTTTTTTGTGAAATTTAGGTCAATTTGCGAAAAAGTTGCCACTAGGTTGTATATGTAATGTCCAGGATCNTTTTTTTAATCATACTTCATTTTTCTAATAAATCCGATAAATCCCTTTTTTTCATACATTTTTCGCCAATTAACTTTATTCTTTCCTTTAAAAATGAATTGCTACAGTTGTTAGCAGTTTCATACGAAATTAATACTCACTCTATATTCTTCATTAAACGGGTTCTATATATAAGAAGTCTGACAATTTTTGGGTTGCTACGTAACTTGCACTCACAAAATATCTGGTTCATAGTTAAACCCATCTGTTTATAGAACTCAAAATAGAGCCGGTAAGTAATTCCCTAACCCTTCTGTTAAGTAAAAGAACTTTTATTACGTTCTTATCCATTAAAACTTTCCAACTCTCCTTTTTTTAGTTTCAACCTGCACTACGGTGCCATTACGTGATCGTACTAAAGCCTCTCCACAAGATCGAAAATTTCAAATCCAGTATCGAAAATTTTCAAGAAGCCAACCCTTCAAATGCGCGTAGTTTTGGTTATCATATAGATTTAGTGTATATTTACGTTCCAAAGATAACAGACAAAAGGAGAAATTAAAATTCACTCACCATTCAACAACATGACAGACAAAAGGAGAAATAAAATTCATTTACCATACAACATTCCATGTGGAAAATCTTGGACTGTTTTCAGAATCACTCACACATTTAGTTATCTTTGGTTGTTTAATTGACAAAAAAAAAAAAAAAATTTTTTTTTAATTATATTGCGCGTCCTTTACTTTCCTGGTTCGTAAAACTCGTCCAGGATCTTTTTTTTAAAAATTAAGAGAAAAGAAAGATTCCCCGTTAAAAACCTACTCATCTGGTTCGAACCTTCGGAATAAAGAATAGGAGAATTCTCTCTTCTAAATTAGAGTATTCTTCCTTCGTCTAGACTCCAGAATATCATCTTAGCCTTCGTAAAGTATATGTCAAATATTCAGTAACCCCACTACACTACACTATAATACCCACCACAATACCACTCCGTCAATTAAACAACGAACGTATTTATACACATTATTAATCCATTCAAAGAAAGAATAATCATTATAAATAATTTTTATACATATCTTTTTTTATATATATACATATATTACTGTTTTTTTTTTTTGTTTATATATTTCTTACGGTGTACTTTTTTGATCAATTTTTTTTTATTATAATATATAACTATTTTTTTTTTTTAACCGACAAAGCCCAATTTTTTAATAGAAGACTAATAATAATAGATTTTATTGAGTTTCTCTCTTATAAGTGAGAAAAGAAAAAAGAAACGAAACGAGCAAAGCATTACGATAAAAGGTAAATATTTTTTATTTTTATTTTTTTTTAATATAAAAAGAATAATCAAACATTTTGTAATTAAACCTCTTTTTATATTCAACTATTAATAGATCTTTATTTCCTTTTAAAAATACTTTAAATACTTTTTTTTAAAAAAAAGTGTAGTGGGGAACATTCATACATTTTATAATTGAAATGGGGTTGGCTTTGAGAATAACATAATGAAACACTCGAAATTTCCATTCGGAATCTAAAAAAAATAATACAAAAAAGCTCTCAGGAAAAAAATAATATGACTGCGCCAAATTGGTCAGTGCGGACGTGCACGTGGGGGTGAAAATTATTTAGTCTAACGCACGGACCATCGTAATTTTAATAATAACATACTGTATATAGTTAATTCATATTTTCACCCTTTTTTCTCTTCGAAAACAATATTAAGGTAGTGATTTGTAAGGAATTGGAATCCATAGCAAGAATTTTTTTTTTCAAATTGTATATATAGGAAATTTTTTTTAGAACCTTTTCCACCTTTTAAAAAAAAAAAAAATTCTTGACTTTGGCCTTCAACCAGTGAGATATTTCTAATCTGATGAACGATTTTCTAGGAAGAAAATAGAATATTTTTTTTTTTTTTTTAAAGCACTACGATAAAAAAAATCGTAAAAATTATTAAATGATGATCAGATGTCTCCTCTCTCATTTTGTTATTAATAATAATAACAATGGAAAAAGAAGTTAGTAAAAAGTAGAAAATTTGTTTAAATCGGCGGGAAGAACGTATGGGGAATGGGAAATCGTATGGGAGATCGCACGAAAGATTAGCCGTCGAGAATGTGAGTACGAATAAAATCGAATTTCAATAATTTCAATAATAAAAAAAAACTTCAGAAACAAGAACCGAACAAATGACTAGTAAAACATATAAAAAAAATTTTCTTATAATGAATAATAAATAATATCAGTAAAAATAAAAAACTATTAGACAACAACAGCAATAAACAATTATCAACCCCTAAATACAACTATGTGAATCGATCTTCTTTGGGAAGTACAGGAGATGTACAACCAACAATAATAAAATAACAGAATAATAAAATAACAGAATAATAAAATAACAGAATAATAAAATAACAGAATAATAAAATAACAGAATAATAAAATAACAGAATAATAAATAACAGAATAATAAATAACAGAATAATAAAACTTGTAAATTTATAATTAAAAATAGGCAGAAGATCAAATTAAATAAAAAACGTGCCTTTATATAGTTAGTTTTATTCAGGGTTCTTTTGTAATTTGAAATAAGAATTTCACGCAAAATGTCGTAAAACATTTAAATCTATAATTAATTAATTAAAGTCAAAAGTTTTAAATTTTCAGGAATTTTCAGGGATTTATTAGTTTATTATTATTATATACTTTATTATATACTATTTTTGTTTTCCTATATCAGATATTTCCTATTATATGAAAAGAAAAATTAATGTATTTTGTAAATAAATTTTTTTTTTTCTAAAAAAAAAAAAAAATCGTCGAAAATAATTTTGAATATAAATAAAATTAACACCTAACAATTGACACGCAATTTCTATGATAATCGATTTTATTGTATGTCTCTTTTTTTCGGTATTATAAATAGTAATANTTTTTTTTTTTTTTTATATAAATAGATGAAACTTGAAAGATTCTGATAAATTATAGCTAACGTGCGCTACTAAATAAATCGAAAGTAAAAAAGTATCCAAAAAAAAAAAAAAGGAAATCCAGAAAAAAGATGCTAAAGTAATGTAATATATAATGTTCTGATATTATAAAGATAATTTTTTGTAAATAATAATATATATCTGAGTAATTCTAAAAAAGTAATAAAATGCTATAAATTAAATAATTCCATAAGGCGAGAGAGGGGGGAAAATGCAAAAATTATAAATGAAGTAATAAAGTGTTTACTAATACATGTATCATAAAATAAATAACCACACAAAATTAACTAGATTCTTGTTGTTTAGCAACTTCAATGTTTTGCCAACTCAAATTATTATTAGTATCTTTTTCTGAATCAGCAGGGACAAAACTAGGTGGAAATCCCCCATTGTGATTGTGATTGTTGTGATTGTTGTGATTGTTGTAATTATTATGATTGGGGTTGTAGTTAGGGTACTTATTTTGTTTTTGTGGTAAACTTGTGTTATTATAGCCATTGGGGTTTTTGTTATTTGGTCGAGTATAATTTTTATTTTGATTTTGAGGTCGTTGCCCATTTTCTGAAAAGGAGAAGAATATAAATAAATTGTGAAAATATATATATATATATATATATAAAAAAGCCTTTTAAAATATTTACCAGTGGGGTTAGGGTTACTAGAACGAGGTTTGCCAACTTCAACTCTTAACGTGCCTTGCTTCTCGTTCTTTGTCACCCCGTTAAGACTAATAGCCTTAGTTTGTGCAAGTTCTGTTTTTAAATCAACATGGGCAAATTGTTTTTGAGCTGTATAACGGATATCTGCAACCTATATACAATAATAAAAGTTAAAATAATCTTATTTCTAAAAAATATATATATATATATATATGTATTATATACATACGTCAATATCCTCACTCTCAAATAACTCTTGTAATTGTTCTTTTGTCGCAGAACCAGGCCATGATACGAAAATAGTATACTAATAATATTGTTGAAAGAATAGTGTTAAATAGTCGTCAATTTTTTATTTAATTCTCTCTCAAAATTAACTCCAATTTTAATTTCTCACCTTAGGACCCATATTATTATTGTTGTTGTTACGGTTGTTTCTATTGTTATTATTATTGTTCATTCCATTCGGATATCCATTTTGGAATCTTTTTTGAACATTATATGTGGTCGGCAAGGTGGTCTGTAAGTGACTATTATGACTAGGATGAAAGTGATGATCTGGATTTGCCTGATTTACAATATCTGTGTCAGTTACTGTTCTAAATCCTTGATTAGACTAAAGAAAAAAAAATAGAAAAAAAAAGAAGAAAAAAAAAAAAAAAAAAAA